GTTAAGTCATTATATGGTCTTAAACAGGCGCCAAAAGTATGGCATGAGAAGTTTGACCAGGTAATGATGAACTCTGGGTTCAAAATTAATGAATCAGACAAGTGTGTTTATCTAAAAAACACATCCCAAGGGTATGTCATGTTGTGTCTATATGTAGACGACATACTCATAGTTGGTAGCGATGACAAGATGGTCAAGTCTACCAAAGACATGTTAAACTCACGATTTGACATGAAAGATATGGGTCTGGCTGAAGTAATTCTTGGAATTAAAATTGTGAGAAGACCTGGGGGTCTAGCACTGAGCCAATCCCATTATATTGATAAAATCCTTGACAAGTTCAACAAGGATGACATTAGAGTAGCAAAGACGCCGTTGGACGTCAATGCACACCTGGCTAAAAACCGAGGTTCCAGTAACTCTCAAATCGAGTATTCGAGAGTTATTGATAGTTTGATATATCTAATGAGTTGCACTCGACCAGATTTAGCCTGTGCCATAAGTAAGCTGAGTAAATACACAAGCAATCCGAGTGATGAGCACTGGAAGGCTATTGTACGTGTGATGAGATACCTGCAGTATACACGTGATTATGGATTATGCTACTCGAGATATCCACCGGTACTGGAAGGATACTCGGATGCGAATTGGATATCTGATAGTAAAGACTTGAAGTCCACCAGTGGATATTTCTTTACGCTAGCGGGTGCAGTAATATCTTGGAAATCCTCAAAGCAAACAGTGATTTCTAGGTCCACCATGGAGTCTGAGTTTATAGCTTTAGATAAATGTGTTGGAGTTGTGCCCTGATGGCCAACTGTTTATCGTTATTCTATCATGTATATGCAGATATAATATGTTTACACATCTCATGCTAATGTAAACAAATATTATATTCCTAGATTTATATTTAAAAGATGTTTATCAGATAGTGTTTTTCTGCTGATGAGACTAACATCTTGAAATAAATATTTATCTAAATGTCCATAGTCGAGTATTAACGAGAGTGGGATATCGTTAATGCATGTGAGACTAGTGTGTGTTGGATGTTTGACTTAGTCTCATAGTCAATGACGGTGTGTTCGCATCCGCACATGGGCAGATATTATCTAGAGATAATAGGATGCCGGACTGACCCATGCTAAAGATGTTGCTTGAACTTTTAGTTCATGCTCTAAGCATCTTTAGCGCGACCACGGGTGTAACTATCCTTCGACTTGAAGTATTACGTTTTCTGCATATGTGAACCCGCATACTTTGATGCATTGTCCTAAGCCATATGAAATAAGGATGGTATATAGGCTTTGTTTTGGGTATGCCGCAGCGCGTATTCAGAAACGTAGATTACGTACATAGGATTTGTCACTACTCTTTTTAAAGAGATTAATGTCTTATGGGGCCCACTGATAAGTTATGACTAAGGAAATTGCATGGCCATGCTGAGATGCTTTTATGACGTCTGTTCCTATTAGTCGGACTTGATAAATCAGTGAATGACTTAATGGATACAAG